TGATTGATGCTGACATATCCCTTTTACTACGATAGCAACAATCACTTAGCACCAAGAATATTTAATGGGTAATAGACATTCTTGATGATGAGTCTAGTTTATGCGTTTGTATAAAGGTCTGTGTATAAAAAGTCCCAAACTGTTGATGCTATGTATCACTGGATTAGAAAGTATAATCATTTTCCAGGGTATCTATGTACATGTTATGGAAATTATTGAAAAACAAACAGGAAACCTGTAGAAAGGGAGAACTTGGGAGAAGTTATTAAAATTTTAATCTTCCATAACTGATTGTCACAGTGACAGGCCTGATGCTTGAGATATCTCCTGCATTTAAATGCAAGATTTGAACTGTTTGTTGTCCAAAAAAAGAACTGCTGGAAATTCAATACTGGACTTGCATCATCAAAGTGGCTTAACAATAGAAGATTCTCTTTTCAGGGATAATTCAACTAGATTTGTGATCACTTACTTGTACATAGGAGAAATGTATCTAGAGATATGAGGAAACCTTTGAAATAGCAAAGAGAAACTCTGTTTTCAATGGTAACAAGAAATGCAGGGGAGGGGAATAAATTTCCACTAGAATTGAAATTCATAAACAAGTATAAGTCTTAGGAAAATAATTGTTTCTCTCAGAAATATGAGTGTCATCTATTATTATACTGGATTGAGGGAGGCTTAATAGAACACATAAAGGGAGCAGTCACGTGTGCTTCCATGTTTAGAGTTCAATGCATCGAAAGTTTGGGATGTAATTACATAGCGAAGGGATAGTCAGAAAAGGAGTTTTGTAGAATCAAATGCTACATTTTCTAAAAGAACATCTAAATTCAGTAATCTGAATGTCTAATTTTAAAATGGAAGTGATAACAAATAGAGCATTCATTTAATTCTTACAGTTAGGTAAGCATGGACATGAAGAGTCATAAGAAAAACTATTTGTAATTGATGCGGTCATCTATGTAGAAATTCTAAGGTACTTAGAGAAATCGGCTAGAACTAATACATATATTAGGAAGGTCATAGTCAAAGAAATGAAAACAAAGTGTCCCCATGTAAAAAAATAGAAATGAGGGTTCAGAATTGCAGTCTTAAATCATTATTGGCTAGCAAATCAGAGGTGAATTTTAGAAATCTACAGAGAAAGAGAAATATTAAAAGGATCTATATGTGTTTGAATTTGCAGTCTTGGCCAGTTTGAATCCTCAGAGTATTCAAAAATCCTGACCAAAGTCAGCTGGCTGCTTCTGTGATGTTGCAGGAGGCTGGAAAATTGGAGCAGATGATAGGGTTACTCGGTGAGGACTAAAGGATGCAGCCAGGTGTAAGCAACTGATACACCGGAGTTCAGGGAGACTGAATTTTGTACTGGGAAAAATCATGAACGGTACTAATTTGCTAGCAGCGAAGCAAATAACATGGCAGACTTGACTTTCTAAGAAAGGATCCAGGCTGACTGCTTCACTGCTGCTACTTACTGACTACCAAGCCTGGTAGCTGAACCCAAAGCAATAAACCTGATGCCTCTGGGCCCTCCCTGGTCAGATAGTTTGACTTGGTCAGTCATGAAGCCCACATCTCTATCTTTAGAAAGCATGGTCTTCAGCACCAGGTGCAGTCCTGGCCGAGGAGCAGTAGCTTTCTTGCCCTGGGATAGTGCGAAGAGCAGACAGAAGACAGGAGTGTTCCAACTGCACGAGGAATAGTACACTTGAATTGTGGGTGATGAACATGTGTGTTTGAAGAGTTTGCATCGAAAAACTGATGTGAACAGGCTCGCTCCTCATGTGGATTCTTCCTCAAATCTATCACTTGCCTCTCCTACCTCCAATGAAATGAGAAAACATTATACTGAGAAGTAAAGATAGTTGATAATGGTTAACTATGCCACTTCTGTACTCCATTTTAACATTTGAGAAGATGGTATGTATTTGAAGTCCCCTTAGAAAGTAGCCTCAATATTTTAAACTAAGAAAGTCTTTAAGTACAAAAAATTTCCCTGCTGAACCAGGAGGACGGAGAGGTTGAAGCCACTGCTGTTCTGTGGTGAGCACAAAGCAGTCTGTCTGCGTGACCTCAGGCAAGTCCTCTCTGTGATTTAATTTTCATATGTATAAAATGGGGATAATAATAGTGGCCCACTATCTGTTACTGTCATTCTGAAACTCAGAAAGCACTGAAAACAAAAACAACATTTTTTATTGCTTTGAATTTCTATCTTTCTTTTTCTTTTTCTTTCTTTTTTTTTTTTTTTCAGAACCAGAGATTGAACTCAGGCTCTTGTACTTGCCAGGGAAGCACTTATTACCCTGAGCCATCTCCCTGGCCCCTGCTTTGAGTTGCTAAATTGAGGGGTCACTCAGTTGGTGGTGAAGTTTATCCTAAAGAGCAAGGTGTTTTGTCATGTTTTCCTGTGAATGTGAACACTTAGGATCTGTCGAAATTTGCATGTTGGCTCACAGAGCACTACCCTCCTTCCTGGGGAGGAACATATAATGTAGGCTTTAAGAATTTTTACTCTATAAAGTCTGAATAATTTGGGATTCTGAATCTCCTGGCCCTCGTGCATTCAGTTTTGTAATAACCTTCCTTAGAACATAATGTGAGAATTGTTTCTAGGAGCTCAGTGAGCGATAAAGCTATTACATTGATCAATATTCAAGCCCAGAAGTTAGGTTAAGAATAAGTGTGGATTGGTACATGACGCTGCCTAACTTTATTTTAGGTCCTTTTGTACTGTAGGCTTTCAAGTTTGATTTATGATATAATCGTTAGTGCTAGGACATGTTTCTCTTAAGAAACATCTCACACTTTAACACTTCTCTTTTGCAATCTTTACCTACTTAGAAGAATCCTCTAGCTGCCTTCAGGCTTTAGCTGACAGACTTATTTTTCAGTCATCTTTCCTGTAATTCATTTTGTGAAATTCATTCTTATAAGTCTCCTAACTAAAACACAAATGGATATGCTTATTTCCTTGTAGTACTCCATAAAAATGAGTCCTTAAAAGGTTCTCAAATAATGCTTTTGTTTTAAAAATAATCGCTTGAAAGCACAAGAGCAAAAGTATCCATCTACATTTCATTCAATGTCTCCTAAGTAGAATTTTAGTTCTGTGGTTCATTTTTGGCATGGTTCCTATTGCTTCAGGCTATGTAAAACCCTTTTTCCGTGTTTAATCCTCTACCTGTGGGCATGGATTCCTGATTTCGAAATCCTCTGCTAACACTGGGAAATTTTTAACTAAAAATTTCATATATTAAATACTTGGGAGCAAAATAAAATATGTAATTAATATTGTATTTCAAAAGAAAGCAATGAAGGAATCATTTTAAAGGTGCTTTTTGGAAGATGTTTGCTTTTAGTTAGAGCTGGGAGACAGACCAATAACGAATCTTTTGGCCACCATGGACCATAGGCCTTGTTCCCCTTGCACTGCTACCAACTTGTGACTGCAGCTCGTGTACGTGTTTACCCCTTGTTTAGTCATGAGTTACTAGGTGCCTCACAGTTGGGCAGGATTTCTATTGCCTGGGTGTTTTCCCCCCAGCATCTGAGTGAGGAGGAACGTGGGGCTGGGGCCTTGCTTCAGAGAGCAGGGGTAAGAGGGCCTAGCACAGCGGATGGACCCGTATGGAGATGGGCGGGTGGAAGAGGAAGCAACACAGGATGGGGCCATTACTTTTCCCTCTGTACTTGGTTCTTGGTGTCACACTCTCTGCTCCTCATTTTGCCATTAGGACAACCAGCCAGCTACCATTGAGCTTCTTCCCCCTGAAGAAGGCAGAGTGCTGAGGAAAGGCCTCATTCACGTGTGAGCTCCACAGTACACTGGTGCCATGGGAAGCTATGTTACATTAGACTGCACATTCGAGGGCAGATGTACCCCATACCTCTTCAGCTTCTATAATCTCTTTTTCTGCAGCATCAGAAAATCAGTGCCATGATGGAGGGGTGCTTTTTCTTTGCAGATTTCTGGTGGTTGACCTTAGATACAACCTCTTCGCTCTTGGCCAGATAGTCCATCTTCAAACACATTCCCTGAACCCTGATTTCTTTGAACTTATTTGCTGGCCAAACCTGTAGACCATGGATTGAAATTGCCCATGATGCAATTGTGAAAAAAAATGTAAAAATAAGGGAAGCTCTGCTACTTACGATCATAACTGTGTTATGTGTTTTATGTGTGGTGCACCATGATCCATCTTCACTCAGTGTGACCCAGGCAAGCCAGGCGTCTCTTCCTCCTTGGTCTGGGGGTGGTGGTGGGGCAGTGGGGGTTGAGGGTGGATCCCATGTTCCTGTATAGTAAGGGAAGGATTAATTATGACCTGCAAGGCAGGAAGCTTTCTGTACAGTTTATTATTTAGTACCACTTGGTTCATGAAAACATTGTGTTTACATTTATCACTGAGGCTTCTCCTGATATTTTTTAAAGCCCAAATTTAAACCCAAATTTCTTCATCCTAAAGAGGAAAACATAAGGAGCAGTGTAAATGTGCTATCTTTTATTTTTATTTTATTATTTATTATTTTTTTTAATGTGTGTTTAGTATAGGGTCTACAGGATCTCACTACACAGATCGGACTTGTAGTGATCCTCCTGTTTTTCAGCCTCTCAAGCGCTGGGATTGCAGGCATGTGCCACCACTCCCAGTCTTAATTGCAGTTTCAGCATGTCCCGGGGGTGGGGCCAGCACAGCAGGCTGGGGATCGAACCCCGGGGCACTGCGTCTGCCTAAACAGATGCTTTAATCCGCTGAGCTATCTGTCGGGCCCTACATGTGCCATCTTTTAGAAACTCCAGATTTTATTTAAAATGGAAACAATATTTATTGATTTGATTTATGAACATGACTCCTTGCAGTAAGATTTCCACCTGTCGTATAAGGATCCATGATGTCAGGCAGCCATGAAAGTTACAATCGATGGATGCGCTCTGATGTCCTCCTCTCGCTTCTCTCCCTCTCTCCTCCCCCGGACCTGGGTCCACGCAGTATTCCACGGAACTGAAGAAGTTATACTGCCAAATCGCGAAGACATGCCCCATCCAGATCAAGGTGATGACGCCGCCTCCGCAGGGCGCTGTCATCCGCGCCATGCCGGTCTACAAGAAAGCCGAGCACGTCACAGAGGTGGTCAAGCGTTGCCCCAACCATGAATTGAGCCGTGAATTCAACGAGGGTAAGGATGATCGCAGTGTGAAACCGCTCAGCTCTTGGGCGGTGACGATTCTGTGCGCACCCGTGTCTGGTGCCAGCCTCTACTTCTGCAAGCTGGAGTAAACTGATCTACTCACATTGCCCTCATGGTTCACAGAATATGTAAGAATAATGTTGCATAATTTTGTAGCTTTCACTGTGGTTGAATTGCCTAATTTAATGTTCATGACTACAGGATAACCTGGATTGGTCTCTTTCCACTGCTTCAAATTTTGTTCATTCTTTTTTTTTTTTTTTTTTTTTTTTATGAAAGGCATAAGCAGAGATATGGTAGATGCTCTGCTACAACGTTCTTCAATCTTAGTGCCCTTCCCGGAGTGATTTTTTCATTTGTATGTGTTGAGAGCTGCAAGGGCAAGGGAAGGGGCCTGAAAGGAGAGAAACAAGGAACCAGGTCATGGGGGAAGAGGAGAATAAAAGGAAATGGGAATGTAAATAATGGGTAAGAGGCCCCGAGAGGAGAGTAGGTGCTCCTGTGCGGTGGGCAATGGTGGACTGCGCATCAGATGCAGGGAGCTGGGCACTTTCTTTAAGCACTGTGTCCACGCCCAAGCCTTGTCCCCTCTGCTGAGCCTCAGAACCAGTGCCCTTCCAGAAGCCACAGCTGGCAAGGGTTCCCTTAGATCTGCTAGGATGATTCTGTGAACAGAGACTAAGGAAGAGCAGGGAAGGGCAGGAAACAAGGACCAGGGAAGGCACTGCGAATCTTCCAGTCACTCACAGCAGGGGAAGGCTGGATGCTGGGATATTTATAGATAGTATTAGAGATGGAAATATTGCTAGGCAACTGGAGGATATAAGTGTAGGGTCTATACTAGATTCCACAGAGATCAGCTTCATTGCCTGGTTACTTTTTTTTTTAATGGTACCGGGGATTGAACTCAGGACCCTGTGCTTGCCAAGCAAGCACTTATTCAACTGAGCTATCTCCCCGGCCCCTGGTTACCTATTTGTGCTCCATCAAAACTACTATTTTGCAAAATGTTGTTAGCTCTTCCTCCTCTTCCTTCTTTTCCATCTATTTCTTCTTATTATTTTGGTTTCTGAAAAAGTAGATGATGCTACAAAGGGAGTCTTTGATACTCTTAGCTTTTTACTGAGTCTTTTTCTTAGAATGCAATTGCACAGCTACAGGATAAGAGCAGCTTTATGGTTTCTAATTCTTGGAACAGGTTCTTACTTTTGGAGAGCTCCCAAATATGACACTTTTGTAAGACTCTGCCCAGGCTCTTTTGAAAAGGTGCTTCCCTTTTCTTATCCCCAAAATGAGACTCTGCAGCACAAGAGATTCAACAAGTTTCTTAGCTTTATGCATACAGCAATACATAAAGGAGGAAAGAAGAGAAAGAAATGAGCAAGAGGAGGTCTGTCCTTGTGTTATTCTGTCTTGCCCTCTTCTTTTTTCTGTCCAGTGAGGGAATCAAACCCAGGGCCTCATGCATATTAGTCAAATGCTCTACTGCTGAGCTACATTCCCAACCTTAAGTTTCTTCTTTTTTATTTAATATTTTAGTATATAGTTGAATTGCAGGCAACATTCTCTGGAACTGATATTCCTTAACTTCATGCACTTGCTTGTTTTCTTCCATGTTCAGAGGACAATGGCCTTCTTCCCTCCTGGAATGAGGTCATAGAGGTCTATAAAAATTGGGATAGCTAACCTTAAACTTTAAAGGCCAGCAAGAGTCTCCTAAATATAGATCACCATTGTAGCCCTTTCTGTTGCTAAAAATGTTGAGACATCTTCTTGTGTTAGATGTTTTGCAAAAGAATCCATTCCTTTGGTCAAGAGCGTATATTTCCTTGATGACACAGATTGTCACTCAGATCACCAACATTTTGTCCGTGCATCTTTCATTTTGTTTATTGTATGATGAGAATAAATAAACTACTTATTTGGTTTCTTTCTGTTCTGCAGGACAGATCGCCCCTCCTAGCCACTTGATTCGAGTAGAAGGGAACAGCCATGCCCAGTATGTAGAAGACCCCATCACAGGAAGACAGAGTGTGTTGGTGCCTTACGAGCCGCCCCAGGTAAAAACTAGAAAGAAAACAAAAACCACAATACAAATTGGTGGTAGACACATCGGCTGACTGGGTAGACTTAAGAAAACATGACTACTGGTGGTAAAGAGGATTTCCATTTATCTTTCTCTGTGGTAGACCCTACCATCAAACATGTAACTTTTTGATATTTCTTTTATCCCTCTTCTCCTCCTTCCTTCCTTTCTTCCTTCTTTCCTCCCTCCCTCCCTCCCTTCCTTCCCTCTTTTTTAATGTTACCATAATAAAAGCAGATAATAATTGCCCTGGAAATAGGGTTTCTGTTCAACTTACAGCAGATTCAGTGGTGGATGTAAGCATTGTGCGCTTGTACTGGGTATCAGGATTCTGATGCTGATTTGTAAATGACAAGGTCTAGGAGGACTCATAGCTGACTTTTACCTGAACAGAAGGTACATTTGTAGGTCTGTTGTGCATAGCAGAGTGCTGTGATAGAGACTACACAGGAGTAATGAGACCAGAGCTCTGTCATTTGCCAACTTGCCCTGTGGATCTTCAACACATGACTGTACCTCTGGGGGCTTACGTTGTGTTATCCACGAATGAACACCTTAAAAGAATGTGCAGCACCCATGTACTGACTCCCCACATAAATGCAATCATCATTGACTGTAACCATGTATGAATAAAAATTAAAATAAAAAAATAACCTAGATATTTTAGTTTGGAGAACATTTTATAGTCCAGAATATTATTTATGGAAATGCATCTTCAAATCTATTATACTTTTCTGCCTCTAGGAGATGCTATTTTTGACAATGTTTTCTAGCTCTCTTATTAGTGATATTCATTTCTATGCTGTAGCCCATATTCTAGGTGATTTGGATCAGCATACAGTAAACTAGGTCAAAGATGAAAGATCCATTAAAGCCCATTTCACCTATCTCACCAACATTTCAAACATTAGCTTGAAGCTTCCCACAAGGCAAGAAAGAGAAGAATCCACAGTGGATGTGAGATACTGCCTTCCTAGAAGGAAGCATAGGCCTCCATGTGTAGTGGAATTCTTTCAGAAGAGGGAGGAATTGAGCAGGAAGGCTAGCAGCTCAAACCATATTAACATAGTTTCTTTCTTTCTCCTGTGCTCAGGTTGGCACTGAATTCACGACAGTCTTGTACAATTTCATGTGCAACAGCAGTTGTGTTGGAGGGATGAACCGTCGTCCAATTTTAATCATTGTTACTCTGGAAACCAGAGAGTAAGTGACATTTGTAAGACTGTCATTCTACAAGCAATCATGGGGAAAGAGAGGGCAACGTGAAGTTGTGTTTTATCATGGACTGGATGCGTGGTGGAGAGTCGACTTCAGTTTTGTCCTCGGTGCCTTAAGTTTTTGTTGTGGACATTTACACATAAAAAAATAAGGAAGTAGAGAAAGAAGAGGGTGGGTAAAATTAGAAGAGGGAAAAAAAGAACTGGGAAGGTGTACAAGTTGCTTCATACCTGAATTCTTGACATTTGACTGGAGTTGTTGCGTAGACTGCCTTTGTTTTCGTGTGTCCTGGGGCATTTAACAACTTCTTTGAGTAATTCTGGACCCCCTGAGGGGATTTTGTCCCCCAACATCCACTGGCTTAACTCAAGTTTCCTTCAAAATATGTAACAAAATACAGCTGTTCAGCTAATGGCTTGGAGGTTCTTTGCAGAACAAAGGGAATGTGATTTACTAACATTGCTGGTGGCATAGAAGAATTTGTGTGTTGTGCCAAGTTCTTTACAGACCTTCCTCAGAGCAGCCACAGCTGCATGGGTGGGTAAGGGGTGCCCAGGATGACCAGCAAGGACCCCAGCGGCCCTCAACAGTCTTTGATTGCAGAGCTCTTTTTCTCTTCTCTCTGATTCCTAGTGGGCAAGTCCTGGGCCGACGTTGCTTTGAGGCCAGGATCTGTGCTTGCCCAGGAAGAGACAGGAAGGCAGATGAAGACAGCATCCGAAAACAGCAAGTTTCGGACAGCACAAAGAACGGTGACGGTACGAAGCGCCGTAAGTAGATGTAGTGGCCGAGTGGGCTAGGGTCTACTCTCCTGCAGGTGGAGGGGGCTGGGGGCTGTATTGGAAAGTCCGCGTGGTCCCAAGCATCAGCGTTGGAAGCAAGAAAGACTTGAGGTCCCCGTGGTAGTGGAAATAAGTATAATGTTGCTGGAGACAATAGAATGGACCCCAAATATACACTATAGCTTTAAGAAAGCAAAGATTTATAACTATAGTTCCCTCTTATGGGGCTTTTCACCATGTGACTTCTGCACTGGTTCAATCAACACTGTCCAGAAACTAGGTAGAAATACAAAGTCTTTTTTTTCCCCCCTTGGGTATCAAAAATCAAACTCAGGACCTTGTGCTTTCCATGCAAGCACTTTGCTCAGAGCTCCATTCCTGGCCCCAAAATGCAAATTCTTAAGCCCTAAAAGACTGCCTTGCCGTATCAGACACTTTGAAGGTGAAGCACAATAATCTGTGTTTTATGAACTGAGTGCCCTGTGTTTCGGAAGCCCTCCAAGAGATTCTCATGCCACCTAACTCTCAAGAAGAATCCAGCCTGTTGCTATTGACTTATCATTCAGGTATCAAGCACAAGGATTAAAATAGCATCTGCCCACCTCATGATGCAATAAGAATTAGACAATAAGAAGCAACAAGATGACGCTATTTACAGATGTATTTCCTGAGGCACAGCACATAAGGGTACAGAGCAGGTCTGACCCTCACATATATGATGTACTTGGGCTCTCAGCAACCTCGTCAGAGGTCTTCAGATTTACTTTAACTAATGAACGCCTTTAAAAATGACCTATTTCAAGGAACCTATAAAGCAAAATAAAAGAAAGTAGAGCTAGAAAATCAAAGATGTGTCTGAGCTGCTAATGTGGGTAAAATTTGATTCAAGAAGGTGTCTTGGGCCAGGGAGATAGCTCAGCAGCCAAAGCACCTGCCTGGCAAGTGCAAGGTACTGAGTTCAATTCCCATTACCAAAACAAAAGAAGGTGTCTTGGGCAATACTGTTATCATAACCACAACTACTTTAAAGCATCATACAATGAGTGATTTCATTGAAAAAAAAAAGGTTATCATTACCATTGATTGGTATCCAGATTACACTGTACTTTACAGGAGAGCCTGGCAACTGACTGTCAGTAATTCAAGCTTTTCCTATTGACTCTTTCTATCTCTCAAGAGTCCTTAAAATTTTATTATGTATATGACATATGATGTATTGGATGCATACATGTGCATTCTAATGTTACTCTTGTGTCTTCCTGACAGCAGAGCCCTTGTCCTTTCCCTGAGCACTCCACATACCTACAAATTAATGACTTCTGGTAGAACAGATTACTTAAAATTTGGCAGACAGATTATCTTTATACCCTGGATTCTGGATAGGTGTAGTTTAGGAATTTAGTGCTCATTAATTCCTTTATATTACCCAAAGGAAGTTTCTTTGTATTCATCTATGGGAGATGAATGATTAATAAATACAACATGAAACCAATTTTTCTCCCTTTATTTTTTTTCTGTACTGGGGATTGAACTCAGGACCTTGTGCTTGCCAGGCAAGTGCTTATTCTACTGAGTTATCTTCCTGGCTCTCTTCCTTTTCTTATCAGCTCTTCTCAGAGCTACTCAAGACAGTACAGGCTTCCCTGCCTATTTACTTAACCTAAATGCTATTTCCTAACTTCCTGACTTTTCTTCCTTTACTTGTTCCTCCCTCCCTCTTCCCTACCTTATTTGGCTGAGGATGCATTTGCTGTAAAAGCAATTATCACCAGCTTAATGGATGTTTAAGACAGACTCCTTAGTAGTGCAGATTTTTCTGTCATTATGGCTGTCTGTTCAGCATGTGTTATTAATAGGGTTAATGTTTAATAATAAAAAATATTTAACATATATTCATGGTGCCAAAATGTTCCTGCAGTGAAGCTTGTGTTTCTTTCCCCCAGCTTTCCGCCAGAATACACATGGCATCCAAATGACATCCATCAAGAAACGGAGGTCCCCCGATGACGAGCTGCTGTATTTGCCAGTGAGTGTCCCTCAGGGTTCACCATCACGTCACTTTAAGCTGCTTTCAATGATGTCTGACTAAATATCACTTTCTACTTCCTTGTGTTGGCGGGAAAGGAGCCTTTCCAGTCAGCGCTTGAAGAGGCAACCAGAAAGTAGCATAAGTGAGGGGGCTTATGAGCAACAGAAATGTTATTTCTGCAGTTATGGAGGTTGTGGGTCTGAGGTCATGTGCCAGCCTGGTCATCTGACGAGGACCTCATTTGGAGTTCCAAATTTCTGTCTTCTCCATGCTTCTTCTAATGTTAGGAAGACGGCTGGAGAGCCCTCTAGGATCTCCCTTACCAGGGTGCTAATGCTTTTCTTGTAAATTCTGAAAGACCCAAATAACCTGGAAAAGGCTCCACCTCCTTATGTCATCACTTCGGGGGTTATGTCTTCAATATGTAAAATCTAGGGGGGCCTAAATATTTAGTTTGTAATAGTGGGAGAAGCAGAAACAAAGCAAAGATAATATGTGTATGTGTTTATATAATATTTTTAAGCATCAGGAAATTTCCTTTCCTTCTATACTTTCACAGTCTAGTAATAGTGTGAGCTCTATTTTCATCCCCACCTGATTAAAGACCCCTGCTAACTTGATTTTTTACAAATCAAGTATTGATTTGAAATTATTTGCATTTCATTATTTATAAATGATGGTTATCCCACACAGCATGGCCATAACAATCTAGTCCTAAAATTTTGTTAGAAAAAATATCACGAAATTGATGATACTATAATCATTAGAATGTTGACTGTCAATTTTTATTGAGATAAATGTGTACATCTCTATGAGGAGCAGTATGTCAATTTGATACAGTAGACTCCACGGGCGGTTATCACACCTGGATTACAACCACTCCCATCTTCTCAAACAGCAATCGTTTCTCTTTGTCTAGAACTTTCATTTTCTTTTAGAGAGTGCTCTACTGAAAGCCGAGTAAGGCAGAATTCTCAGTTGTGTGCGCGCAGCCAGGAGGCTTGGCCTAGTTATTGTGTAAGAACATCGTTTACTTCTACACAGAACATTATCCCTCCCAAAGTCAAAACCAAGGTTACTTCTTTAGGTTATGCCTGCAGATCATTGAATTCTTCCTCCGCTAGATCTTGGGCAGCCAGAGTCGCAACCAAACTTTGGTGGTCAGTGCAGCTCTGTATGCCACCTCAACTGACAAGATACAGGCAAGCAGGACCAAGAGAATGGACGGTGTGCTGCTGCCCTGGATCTGGTTTAAAGCAACTCAACAAGTTTGGGTGTGCCTGCCCTGCCCAGGGCCTTGGGAAATCACCTAGCTCCTCATGAATCAGAAATCAATTCAGCTTAGGTTCTCAGTGTCTTCTGTCTCAGCTTACACATGGAAATTGATTTACGAGTCCTAAGTGAAATTCTATCCTCCTATAGTAAATACCACACACAACTTAATTATGTTCTCAGCTGATGGGACAGAAACCATCGGAAAAGCTATTTTTAAATGAAATTTCAGTTTTTACTAAGGCAAAAGATACCCTGTAACAATTTACATTTTAAGATTAGTGAAAAATTAGCCACTGAAGTGTTCAGGGGAAAAGTGACTCTATGAATTCCGTATGTGTCTAGTGGGTATTTGTTGGTGGCAAGTCCACGGCATCCTGAGCAATTACAACTCTGCAGGACACAGTTCTTTCCTTCAAAGAGCTTGTCTTTGACTTAAGATGTGCAGTTATAATATAACACAATATCTCAGGAGGGTGGGCATAGAACAGCATGGACACTGTACAAGTAGGAAGATCGAAATGGAAAACTGGGGCAGGAGAAGCTTCTCAGAGAAAGGACCCCAGCGCTGGAGTTAACACCACGATGAGAAGGGAAAAAATCAGTTCGATCCTTATTCTGGCAAATGCTGCCCCTTGTGCTCAGGGAGAATAAGCGAATGTGTGAAGCAGAACTGCTTGGTGTTCAAAATTTAAGTGGACAATAACTCAGGAGTATGCAGTTCCCTGCGTACCTCGCTTGCCTCCTTCTGGCCCCAGCTCTCTTGTGACTCTTCAGGATTTTAAGAGATTTGCTAAAATAGAAGCACATTTTATCCCTGCTACAAACTTGTCCTTCCAGATCTTGTTGCAGTCAACTCTTGTTTTGTAACCAGACAGGTTCTTCAAAGGTTCCCAAAGGGATATGGGCAACATAATCCCACTCTACCTGGAGAAATAAGTGCCCAGGTGACTCAGAAATTTTCCCACTGTGAATATCTGTGAATGACCAAAGGTGCTAGGAGCATATTAATTTCCGTGTTACAAGTCAAGGTTAGCAAGCAGGCCAGTTAGAAGAGCTCCGTGGGTAACGAGGATTGCCTGCACTTTTTTCTAGTCATTCTGCTCAGCGGGTCTTCATTTGTTCCTGTGTCTCCTCTTGCCTAGGTGAGGGGTCGTGAGACTTACGAAATGCTGTTAAAGATCAAAGAGTCCCTAGAGCTCATGCAGTACCTTCCGCAGCACACGATTGAAACCTACAGACAGCAGCAGCAGCAGCAGCACCAGCACTTGCTTCAGAAACAGTGAGTGTGTTGATGTGCCCCTTTATGCATGAACTGGGGTGACTTTTTTGCATCCAAAAAAAGAATGACTGATGGAGAATGTAGAAGATGACACTGTGTGACAGCTGACCACCATAAGTTCAGATAAACTGGTGCGGGACTTATTTTCCAGATTAAACCATTTGTACATCCCGTGTCTTCTTTTTGAGGAGTTTACCAATGTTCTAGAATGGAATCCGAAGTCATACTAACAGTTCCTAACCCAGTTCTGGTAACAATGTGTGTGTTTAGAACCATAAAAGCCTTCTCTCATCCAAATGGATTGGCTGGTGCCCCTTTGGAGATTCCCATAATCCATTTTGGGGGATGCTGCTGTAGGCCAGGAGTACCAGAGATTTGACTACACGGCGACTTGTTGGAGTACTTTGTGGGGAAGGATTCTGAGACCTAATGCATGTTTCTTAGGACAATGCATACAGAAGAACAAAGCTGCAATGTTTTGCCATGTTTTAGCAGCCTTGCTCCAGACTGTCTTCCAGTGATACATTTTTACACATAAACAAGATATTTTGCAACCATATTAGCATATAAACATACAACCATTTATAAGTTAAATTTTACTTTGCCTCTTGCATCTTTGATGATGTTAATTGTTTTATGACTAACAAGAATAGAGTAACTGTTATGAAAGGATGGTAGGTTGGCCAACCAGCACTCTGTGTATACTAATCTTCTGCTAGTTAAGAATAATCATCTGATACTTCAGTTAAGATAGTATATCGGGAGCATTGTCAATATCCAGATAAATGTAAAATATACACATCTTAGGTCCATTTGAGAAATTCAGACATTCAGCTTTTCAGGGAAAAAAGAAAGGAAACCAAAAAGTATCTTGCCTATGGCTAAGATGATTTTTTGTAATAGAAATGCAAGCGATAAATAATGGTTCTTTTCTCCTACGGAATCATCCACTATAGCGAGATAGTTATGGAAAGTATGTGAACCAGGCCCCTGATCCGTGTTTAAATCAACCTAAGTGTGGACTAAGGAGGCTGGACTGTATTCTTGGAGACACTGATTGCCTGTGGTGTAGGGTGAGGGGCTAAAGAATATGAAACAAGCCTGCTCTGTCTCCAAAGGACCTGAAGCAGCTTGAGCCTTTAAGATCTTTTCTGGCTGGAAGGCTTCTCATTATTTGCTTTGGCAACTTGTATTTGTACGATTTTGTGTGAAAGACTGATGAGAAGGTTTAATGAGAGGCTTCTTTGGGGAGAGAGGTTGTCGTAAAAGAGAATTAGAGCTCTGGGTTGCAGACAGAATGCCTACGACCTATCATGTGGATTCTTTTAGATATCACATGGAAATATACTCTAATATATTCCAGTGCAAAATCAATTCAGTTCTTATAAAGTCACGTAAGAGGGATCAAAGAAACACAGACCTGAACTATCATTATGGACTCAGAAGGGCTAAGTGCCTTCCCCAAGCATGCATGTCATGGAATTATGAAATACTCCAAAATTGCTCTCAGTTCACGCTGAAAAAGATTAACCTAGCCAACATGACTCCAGGAGAATTACCCAGTCACGCAGCATGCTGCACGAGTTGTTCTGTGATAAGTTTTTCTGTTTTTTTTTTTTTTTTCACTTATCAAGAAAGAGTCTGACCATCTAGCACAAGGACCTGAAACAGTTTTTCTGTAAAATATTGGTTGGAAACATTTTGGGCTTTTGGTTCCAAGTGGTCTCTTGCCACTGCTCAGTTCTGTAGCCAGAGCAGCAAATCGGCCACGGTGTTGCATTAGTGAGTCAAATGATGGTTCCAGGGAAACCTTATTTGTGGACTCGGTGATTTAGTTTTGCCTTTTCTCAGGCCACAAATTATTCTCCTTCTGATACCTTATAAAATACTTTTAGGTCTTTACTGAGTGGGCAGGCCTGACTGTGGCCCTGCAGTTTGCTGATTGATCTTATGCATAAACAAGTGGCTGCACTTTCTTTTTGTCTTGAGACCCAGCTTTTGCTTCAAAGCCTATGTGGAAGTTACTTTGGGTGTTCTAAGGCAGAGAGGTAGCAAAACATTTTGAGCTTTGAAAGTAATATTTAATATTAATATTGACTAACAAAGTCAACCGCAGGCTTCCATAGAGATCTGTTGTGTCTTAGAAAGTGAGGCATAGCTATTCAGATATAAAATATAGTTAATTTAAACTTTAAAGACGCTCTGGAATTTCTTCTCAGTATTACATAATTTAATAAGACAATTCAAAATAGCATCTATAGATTATACAAAAGAAGGCCCAACATAGTACAGTAGGGGCAAGCCTATGGCATATATATCATTTTCTTTTTTGAGACAGCTGTTCATATGTGAGTTGCTTTTTCTAAACAAAACCTTAGCATTCAAGTTTCAGTGTAGACCTGTGACTTTGTGCTAAGTAAGTGGGTTCTGAGGTGCGGAATGGGCACAGAGATCACTGAGAGATTCGCCATTGCTCCTGGTCCAGTTTCTGTTTCAGAAAATATATCATCCAAGAGGACTGACATTAATCAGGGGCATATTCTTCTTTCGTTTGCTCATTTCAGTTTGCTTTTTGCTTTTTTTTTTTGTTGGATTTTTTTGAGACAGGCTCTCATTATGTATTCAGGCTAATCCTGAAATCACTGTGTAGCCCAGGCCTTGAACTCCTGGCAGTCTTCCTGCCTCAGTTTCCCCAGTACTGGCATTATAGGCACGTGCCATCATCCTTGGCTACTTAGGGGCATATTCTACTCAAGTTAGTTTATGTGCCCTATGAGAAGACAGAGCCTTCTGCTCCTATGATGAATTTGTCTTCTGATTGGTTTGCACTGCTCTCAAGAGAATTTTTTATTATTCATATTTTATAAAACAGTCTATCCCATCAGAGAAGAAAGCATGTCTTAAAATTATGTTAATAAAAAATAGTCCAACAGATTTTAGGTGCAGATTTATATTTTTTTTTTCCATGTATAACTATGGATAGGAATTAGTACCTGCATAGTTTCTTGGAGTCTTCATTTTAAAGTATCACACACACATTTTTGATTTGTCATCTCACAGCTGTGATAATTGGTGTATGGAAATGTAACAGACTGCAAAATTAAATCTTTGCAAAATATAGACATTAGGTCTAATTACACCTTCATAACGTTATATATATTTGAGTCTCCAGTGATTGATATGCATCTATACGAATTCCCCAGTTGCCTGTTCTTTAGCTAAGTTCTTCTCAGCCTTTATTTTCATGCAAATTCCTAAGAAAGAGCATGAGTGATTAGACAAAGAAAAATGGAAATCTAATTTCCTGGCAATCATTTGAAAAGAATACATCAGCTTGGAAAAATGCCTATAATAGCCTGTGATTTCCTTCCTAAAACATAGTACCAATTTTATGCTGGTAAGGAATCAATTTTGCATTTTCTGTATAGTACAGAGAAAATTGGTGGGAAGGGAATATACTTTATAGAATGTGACCATAAAATATTTTTAGTTTAATTACTTCTATCAGTTTCCTACTGTGTGTTTTCTCTCTGCTTGCTTTCCATTTGTGCATGATTTTCTTTTTATAAAAATTGCTTCATGATTACCTTCATGATCACAGGCTGTACCGAGGGTGGATTTTTTTTTATTGAGTTGCTGTGAATCAAATTATTATAGATACAAGTACTCTTTATACTCCTCAGGAAGAAATTTGATTTTAGCTAACATATCCACATTAGTATAAATACAGGCAGCTACCTTTATGGAAGCCGGAATCCAATGAAGGACAAATTGCACCCGAAGTTTACACTACACTCTGCCTTTGTATTTCCCGAGGGTAATAATGCTCAAGACAGTGGTGCAGAGGTACTTGACCAAAGATGCAGCAGCCTCAGACTATTTCTTTCTCTTGTTCTGCAGCTTAGCCTCACAGTTGGCTTCTATTCCCTGCTCAGGCCAACATGACTTTGTTACTCTCTTGCTTAATCTAACTCTTCGGTTCCTCTGGAAAAGTTTTTTTGAGTTTCTAAGGTTGGAACTCCAGTTACAGTTTTACTACCTGTGACATCCCAAGATACTCTGCCAGTGACCTTTTCTTTCACATTTGTGGCTTAGAAATAGGAAAAGTAAGTACAATAGTACACACGGCACATAAGTAATACAAGTAAGTACAAATAAGGAAATACTGTGACAGAGCAGGATTTTTAAGACTGTAGATCCAGCTCCTTATCCCATACTTGGGGAAACTGAGACCCGATGAACTATACCTTTGATTTCTTAGCTGGTTCAAAATAAAGTGAAGGAGAGACTCAAGTTTCAAACAAAGAACTTTCGGCAGTGATTTGGTCTACTTCACGAGTTAAGGTGTAATTCTAAAAGAAAAGCAAGCATCCATCCCCAAGTTTTGGTCACTATTCATTTTTATTGTTTCAACTTAAAGTCTTAAGGTCATGTGGCTATGGCTGTCTTCTAGAATCAAGCTATTTTTGCCCTCAGCTTCCTGTATCTCAGAGAGAAACAAGAAACATTTTCAAGATGACTAATATAAGAGACAGCACAAACTATCCAAAAAAAATAGACAATATTAATGTTGTATTTATGAGTAGATAGATGCCCTCTGTATTTCTGAAATAAATGTTTGAAATCACTAGTTTTACAGGTTAAGAAAATAAGTACTGGTAATTTCATATTGCTCAGTCTGATACTTGTCATGAAAATGTGTAATTTTTTTTTCTAGTTTACAGTGTTACCTTTTAACTTTTCAACAATTTCAAGACACTTTCAGGTGTGAACTTTATTAGCTCTGAATTGACATAAAAGATTTGCAGATGAACTAAACTGAGGCCAAAACATTTCTCTAAATTTGTGAATCACACTGCGGAAAGAGTGTCTTTTCTAACCCTTGAAGTGTGCATGCCTGCAATCCGTGTACTTTCACAGTACCTTCCAGGCTAGCTTGATCTCCACATGGGCTGGCCTGCTAGTCTTTGCTACAGGAGTAGCGGCAGAATTTACTGTCC